CCCTCCCCCTTCCCCCAATCCTTTCTGCCCCTACTGCCCCTCCACCCCAGGTAATTGCGCTGCTCCTTTTGCCTTGTGGCTTCTGCCTTGCAAGCGTTTCTGGCGGCTGTCGGTTGTCCCATCGTCACCCCTCCACAGACAAAGTTAACTAGATTTCCTTTTGAGCTGACTGCAGTGAGGGAGATCCCCATTTTCCTCCAGCTGTGGATCCTGACTTGGCCCGATTTGGGCACTCTCACCTTCAGGTTCAGTTTCTCCACTGCCAGCTGTTTGTGAGCCACCACCCCCACCACAGTATCAGCTCCAGACGTGACCAGCCAGGAGCACAGCCACGAGAACGGCTGGGGGAGGTGGCAGCTCCAGCACCCCAGCTGGGTGCAGTTTATTTTCCAGGAAGACAGAGCCTAGAACCTGCCACCTCCACTCCGACAGCAGGAAGGGATGCACAACGGGGACAGGAGAGTTCAGGCACATGGGTGAAGACACTTGGAAACCTCCATTAGATGCACATGCACACACATCCATCCATGCTCCAACGTGAAATAATGCCCTCCATCGATGCTCATGCAAACACCCAGGGACAGCAGCCCAAATCCCCCCTCCTGCACCCATGCCAATGTGGCCTTCCTCTCCCACCTCAGACCAGTTTGGCCTAGTCACACGCTGGACCTGAAAGGGAGAAACTAGGATGTCAGGCCCTGCCTCCAAGGACATCTGCTCTGTGCCTTTAGTCATCCAGTTTTAGAGTAAAAGCTGGAGCGAATAGCGCAGAAGGCATTGAAGGCCACAGGCTAGCTCATCATGTGGTAGTGGCCAACATCTCCTGCCCAAGAAGAGCAAAGAAAACTGCATATTTTGGCATCAGCTCTTAAGTAAAACTTCCTAAGACATTTTTGATGGTCCAGCTTGAGTTCAAGTCACATTGCTATGAGAGCACAATTTTCAATTAGTTCACATTTTTCAATTAGTTGAAATCAGATTCTCAGTTTGGGCTTTCTGGTCTCCGACAGCGTTTTCTAAAGGAAGAAGGCACGTTCCTGGCATGTTGCTGGCCAGGCTTTACTTCAGCAGAAACAGGTCTCTTTCATTTTGTGTCTGCTGCATGTTGGAATGGGAGAAAACTAGCCTTCCACCCCTGTTGTATCAGGCAACAGGCTCCGATACGTCCACGGAGCGGGGTGTGTTAGACAGATGGCAGCCATGTTTCCCCCAGAGCTCGTCTGAGTCAGCTCGGCTGGCCAAGGGTTGGCACAGCACACAAAAGCCCGGGGTGCAAGGACCGGGCTGAGGCAGGTGGAGGGGAGAATCTGGCCGTGGTTGGAGAGCAGAGTGTGAGGGAGAGGCAGCAGCAAGGCCTCAAATGTGCGCGGCAGGCTGGATTCCCCCTGGGTGGGCAGCGCAGCGAGGTGTCACCCTGCCTTGCCCAAATATGCAGCTACCGGGCAGGCAGGGGAGGGGACCCCAAGCTGCCCCTCCAACGCTGCCCTCCGTGGGAGGCAGTGACTGGGGCAGATGGCTTAGACAGATGGCCACTGGGCCCTTAGCCTTACACCACGTCCACGTCCGCAGCATGGTAGCTGAGCGCCTTCAGGTCTCTGAGCCTGGGTCGCCTGGGACCAGCCCGTGAAAT